GGCGTACGGTCAGTGATGTACATGGCAGTTCAACAAATTAAAACACAAATTTTTAACAATTTTAGGAACAACTTCTTTTGGAAAGACATTTCTGGACTGTTTCTTCTTCTTTTCTTTCTTTCTTTCTTTCTTTCTCTCTCTCTCTCTCTCTGCCTCTGCTCCTCACAGCCTCCGAAAGACGGGCTGTCTCAATGTCCATACTTCGGAAACACAAAGCAGTCGCGATAAGCGCTGGGCTGCATTCCTGGCGAGATTCGAGTCAGATCCACGGCGCTGTGTGTTCTGTTGTGCCCCGCGGGGCTCACTGCCACGTCAGGACAAAAGAAGGCAGAGATTGGAGGGAGCCACAACGGACAAGAGATGTAATTACTCCTCAGCTTACGGTCCAGCGCTGCAGGTCGCCAACGGACAAAGTCCAGTCGTCGATGTAGCCCACGGGATACTGAGACCGCAAACACAGCGACCAAGCGACTCAAACCACAGTGTAGGACCCCCTTTAACAGCTGAAAGTCGCTCGGCCAAGGATCCTCCTTTTTTAATGTAAACTCGGGCTTCATTAACGTAATATCCGGCAATGAACTGTAGCATAAACCAGCTTAACCCCAGTCTACACCCTCATGCTATTCCTATAGAATATGTCTTCACAGCAGTTTATCTAGTAAAGATTTCCCAACCTAAATTTACATGCACTTGTATTTTCTATCATGTCACATGTACCACAAACAGAGACCCCTTGATTTATTCGTCCAAACAGTATTTAGTGATGCTCGTAGCCCGAGAAGAATTTATTGTGCTTCTATACAGTGAAAGCTCCAAATCGTAAATTTTCCTCCACCATCCTCTTCGGCCTACTTCCTGCTTTCATCCAAATTTTCTCCTCAGCACTTTTTCCCCAAACACCCTCAACCTATTTATTTTCCATAAAATGAGAGGTCTAATTTGACGCCCATTTAAATGAGACCTGTCGCTACAGAACAACTCGTTTGTAAATGCAAATTACAACGAGCATTTACAAACAATTCAAAAGAAACATAGGAGAAAGTAAGGCAAAGTTCTTTGTGATTAACTAAGTACAAGGCCGTGCAGTCGTATGGAGAGTGGAGGTACAGTTCCACGCATTCCTAACCTCTGCGCCAGATACAATGACAGTGCGCTGCCTCAGAGGTATACGCGCAGACATGTAGACGTTTCCAGCAGAGGAGAATTGTCCTGATTCCCATTAACGTTTTTCCAGCCACAGGTCTTAAAGCTAGTGCACAATTATTTATCATGTTTTAAACTATTATTTCTGATGGAAACACCGAAGCTTCATAATCTGTACTCTTTCCTTCAGTTCATATTATTGTGACTCGTGGCGTAAAGGAATAGATTGTAATGTAATAACAACGGACGACCGTGTTCCATTCGTTTAAAATTGTAGAGAATGTCGTGTGTGCCGATAAAATAATTTCGCATTCGCTCTGACAGATGTCGCTCCAAATTCTCTCGAGTGCATGATGCGGTAATTCTACATCCAATCGCAATTTAAATGAACCTCCATTGAAATTAAATTTCGCGTGTCGAACGTTCCACATCAGAGTTTTCAGTGGAACAATTCTGACTGCAGCGACACTCATCCACGTACATAATTTGTGCTGCGTAACTGAATTAATTTACAAGCGCTAAACGAACGAAATTTGGGATTCTCTTAACTGTGAAGACGACGACGTTGTTGTTCTGGGCTGTTACGCCGTGTAGACTTGCATATCCACACCAACGTCTCGCAGGAACATACTGCCTTCATCTTTAGTGCTGCAGAATTCTCGTGGGTTAATTCCTTCTAAATTTGCAACAAGTATTAAATGACAATTGTTTCAAGTGCTTTTAAAACATCTTGCAGAAAAGCCAGAACAATCCTTTCCGTTCACGAGCTACTGATATTAAGCCCCAAAATCCCTCCGGCAAGTTGCGACAAAACTCTTCTGTCTTGTATTTAAACTCGAGACAGGTATTTCAATATGACTCTGTAACAGGATGAAGGGGAAATGTAAATAAACACAAGGTATATACGCGTAAGACCTTCCGCCGAAATGGATAAAAATTGAGTCAATAAACCAAACACTTTCACCTATTTGATAGACACTTCTCAGCTGCTGTAAATGGCAAATTCAATACCCTCAACACGTCTTATTTTCTGTTGCACAGTTGAACAAAGAGAGTGTCAGGCGAAGTGGCCATCCGTACCTGAACCACAAATCACATTTAAATCGAAACGACAACTCAACACAATAGCGACATAAAATGAGACGATCACAGTTCTAAGAAACTAACAAAGTCTTTCGATTTCTCCTACATCACACCAACAACATCAAACATCAGTCACTTATACGTCTAGTAACCAGGCTCTTGAAGTGTAAATACTGCAGTGTCGGTAAACAATTACAAAAATTGGGGGAGGAGGTGATTTGCCTCGCCACGCCATGAGAATGCAACATTAAAATTAATTGAAATTTCACCTGCCCGATATGTAATAGTTCAGGTTATAAAAGTTTACTAATAGGCGCTACTTCATCACCACACGGTAACATTACTTTCACCGTCTTATATAAAAAGTGTATTTACTTTCTTCCAAAACATGAATCGGAATGCAGCAGGGCGGGATTTCAGTTTTCTTCTTGCTTTATTGGAGGGGATACAGGAAAACAAATGAATAGTAGTGGCCTGCACAAAGCACGGCGCCATGTCCACGACGTCTCGGAAGGTTATAGGGTACACAAAGTCGCGATGAAGTTGTTCGTCCTCAGTGTGACAGTAGGTGACTTCGGCAGTTCTTCCTAACAAACAAAAACAAACAAACAAGAAACCAGTCCATTACCCTTCGTCACCCCGCGTCTGTTCCCTCCGGTTTCAATTGCACGAAGTCGCGACGCATCTGTCTCGTGGTCCATCAGAAGCATCTCAGCAATTACATTGATTTCGACTTGTAACGCTCAACATTATGTCGGTCCATATTTGTAGAGGGGGCGTGGTCAAAGTTTATAATCATCATGTCAATCAAAGGGGAGACTCGGTAATTACGTCAGCAGGTGTCAACAATAACGAGACCCTCTTCAAAATAGCTTCTTCACGATGCAAACACTGCTCCTGGCTGCTGTGCTCCTTGCGGTATGCAGCTACTAACGAAACAACGAAATGTTTGTTGCGTAAGGGGTACAAACTGAAGAACAGTAGAAGAGCGCGTGGCGCAAGGCACGTGATAGGTGAACGAAAACATGGGAGAAATGAGAATGCACACAAAATTCTGGACAGAAACTCTTGCGGCAAGAGATCACTTCGAAGACCTAGGTGTAGATGAAGGGATGATATTAAAATTAATTTTCGTTTAGATATAGAGTGTGAGGATGTGGACTGGATTCAGGACAATGTCTAGTACTTGCGAACTCAGTAATCAACCTTCAGGCTAAAATCGTCGGTCAGTATCTACCAGATTACATACAGAAATACCCCAGAAGACTGGCATCTTGATACTCGTCGCCATGAGCACCTGAAATTTCACCAAGGTGTTCATTAGCTTTGTCATCGGACTGCAAGGAGATATGTCTGTCTCAGCAACTCCAATAAAAGAACCTCAAGCCAGTGGCTTATGCAACAAGCACGCAAAGCGTAGTCTCTTGCCAGTGCTGGTTACCAGCCCCCTGCAGACAATCGTCAATACACCGCCACATTATCTGTGTTAAGATAAGTTTATCCTGTTCCCTGGATACAAGAAGAGCCTCACTGTACCGCGTACCGATAATTTTATTCCAGCTACAGCCTAGTGAGGTTTGGCTGTAATTTCTGGCCTGCAGGTGCCATGTGGTATGCCGAGACTTTCCGACAAGCTACATTACGTCCGTGAGAAATACTCCAATGTGCACGAGGTTAACAAGCTTTCTTGCCTCCAAACTATCAATCGATCATCTTTAAAGTTGCCTTGCTATATGTGGACTACGTAAAGAAATCAACGTCTATATCTGTTTTACTCTTAACTTAAACATTTAAAAATCAGCTGCACGTTTCAGAGGAAGACTGGCGTAACTCACTTTCCATTACACTTATATTAAAATAACAAGCATTACCTCTAATCCTGCACCATTTACAGCGCTGTGTTTAGGCCTGCACAGTAGGTTTACGGGTTTCATAACCCGCGTAAAAGTACAAAGGTACATTCCACATGAAACAGCCTGTCTGAGCCATAAGTCTAATTTCCAAATGCGTCTCTTCGTGCGTTCGCATCACCAGTGCACCTTTTACCTTCGCCGTGTCTGTCTGTCTGTCCGCCGAAGATCTGTTGATCTGTACAGGGGGCTAAACCGTGCGAACAAGCGTACAGTTTGGGCAAAAATGTCATAAAATTGAGGAATGCGTTTCAGACGTACTTAATTCAAGTAACTCTATGTAACAGAGTCTAAGCAGCTGGCAGCATTTACATAATTAATCACATGTTTCACAAGTTATTTTCAATATTTCTTCTTTGCTCTGTCATAAAAGATGTGTGACACCCTAGTAAATTAACTGACTGCCCTACTAACTTATTAACAAACTAAACTCCGTGGAGCAGAGTCCTTTTGAGAAGCTAACAGTAAGCTCAGGTAGTCAAGAAATTCCCCACCTCTTACGGAACCAAAAGATTAATTACCTCGTTCACAAGAGCCTGCCACCAGTCCTGAGCTAGACTAAACCAATCCGCACCCTCCAACCCTATTTGCCTAAGATCAATTTTTACACTGGATTCATCAACTTCAATATCCAACAAATCCTGGAGGTTCCCAGTTCGAATTCAAGCAGAACGACTGATATCCTCAGTCAAGATCTTTCCTTCTTGTATACGACTCTGGAGCCGAGGACTTACGTCACTGTTCCTTGCAGTCCAATATGTACCAGGAAATGATATAAACGTGAGTAAGTACCTTAGTATTCTTGTACGCATATTTTTATTTTGTAAAACGCTAGTGATACATTCACAAGGGGAGTAATAAAACATGCATCTGATGTGATCTAGGATGAAAAGGAATAGAGACTGCAATGAAGGTGTAAGAAACGAAATCCTGATCACAAGTCACACAACGTACATTCCCACAGACAATGGTTGGATGTAGAACGATACTATAAATGGAATGCCATGGGAAAGCACAAACTGACAACTCGATCAGAGAGCGGTGCAGAAAGAGCGACTTCAGCACGATTTAACAAGTAGGACGGCTGGTCACTGAACAAAGCTGAAGCAACTGAACACCGACGACGTCAGCTACACGAAGAACAGACCGCAAGGTTCCACCTGTGCGATAAATGCGTATATTTGGTGTGGAGGTCGAGTTCCATTCTTTCATCATTTCGCCATAAAGAAAATAACCCACGGAATACTTCGGACGCGGGGCTCGTGGGTCCAACACGTGACGTCGAAGAGAGAAATTCCTCCAAGCACTGCGCACAAAGGTTTATTATCAGTACCCATAACGACGCTGTATCATCTGCATAGGTTACACAATTCAGAATTTGTAGACGAATGAAATGTGGGAAGGTCTGACCAGTCTATAATATTGTTACGTCTCCAGATCAAATTTCGTGTTGGTAGTCTTCGCTGAACGTTGTTCAGCACAGTTAATTTTGGTTTGGCTTTCTTTTTAAATGGAACGTTATCTGCTTTATAAAAGGTGTTCACAGTGAAAACTTAGGAGGTAGTGAACATCTCTCAAATCCTGGGTAAACTACCAAACTACAGTGAGAAAGAAGACCAATGGGGCATACAAAATCCAAAGAACGGATTTGTAGAAAGTGCATGATGTACTGAGTCTACCTTTCCACTCTGTGACAAGGAAAAGGCTCCAAGAGTGATGAAGTTTAAGAATCGCTTCTCACGAAGAACAGCAGAGATGTCTGCGCGACCAAAGACGTGCGTGGGCCAAAGTTACAGCCACAGGTAAGACTAAGGATAAGGCCGGCAAATAAAATGTCACAGCGCAGTCACTCATTAACTCAAATCACTTTTTCCAACTGGTTTAATGACACACACTGTAAACTGTGGAGGTGGCAGACTGCTAATTAGTTCCGAATTGTGACCCCCACGCGGACCACCAACGTAGCAACTCGGCTGTTCGAGGCCTGGCATGTCTGCGTGGATATCGCCAATCCCATCCACAGTTAATAACCCGTGACAATAAAGTCACGAAAAACGGACGGGTATTCAGATGGGAATTCGAAAATACCTTTGAGGAACTTGTAACCACTCGCAAGCCTGTTCACGTCTCAAGTTACAATATGTCACGTGGCCACCTTTTCTATTTCCATGGAGATTCTATGAAACAAAATTTTAAAATCTTTCAAAAGCAAATTTCACACAAAAAAATATTTTCTATTGTTCTCTGTCTTTCACCTGCATGGTTGGCTACCATAAAAGGGTTCATACCGCTGCGACCCCTTAACAAATCTTCATGGCATGGTTCTTTTACACATTCGTAACCTGCTACCACGACATGCAAGAAATTCTGCAGTTGGTTCGAAGTTGTGGAAACAGCAACAACAAATTTCACCGATCTCCGAAGTTCCGTTTGTCAGTGGTTTTCAAACGCTGTCGTGACACGGTCCGTTATTTATAGCGACGCAATGCAAGTTATTGGACTCGCAACAAAGAGAACACGGCAGTAAACACCCGTGCGTGTCAGTCAAGACGGTACACCTATCCTTAACATATAAAACTTAACTTATGTGCTGGCTTAAGCATGGCCTTATAAGACACTCATCTCTTAGCCGTAAATATTCCTGCCACCTGCTACATATGCTACACTGCACAACTCAAATGTGCAAATCTGCATTTAAATTCATCAGGACGCCCATCGTTCGCCGCAACGCACTTTCATCGCAGGTCACGTGTTCAAAGCAAAAACAGACTAACAGCACGGGGCAGCAACCTACTTGAACAGCTGACAGTCGATAAACTAGTCAAAATATTCCCCGTATTTTATGCAGTCCGAAGGTTCACAACTGTGTTTACAAGAGACCGCCATTGGGCATTGTTACAAACCAACAAATCCACACAGATACTCCCATCTACGCCTATGTCCGAAATGGTCACCAGGTTTCACAACAAAAATTTCGTCCCTCCCATGACTAGGTCACGCAAAAACTGGCAGGGTCATTGTAAATAAATGAACACAATCACGAAAGGGCCAATTCCTAGAACTCTTTAGCTCGGATCACGGCGCACAAACACAGTAGTGACCAATCAGGCTCGTATTACAGTGAACGTACCTTGTTACAATCTTGGAGAGGTTATCGGTTCTCCTGATTTATGCTAGTTACGGGATATTACCTCCAATTACGCAAGGGGGGGGGCCCTCCTTCCATATGCTAACCCACTCACAATCCCTCACTTTCGTCGCTATTATCAATTTGCAAGCACTGCATAATCTTTGCCCAGTCGAAGTGGCTTCTAACAGTTACGCACGTGTTATTTTCACATTTATTTCGAGCACAATTTTTTTTTTCAAGCTGAAGTTAACCGTTAAAGAAATAAAGTACATTATTACAACATAATTGTCAAGAAACATATATATTTCTACATTTTAAATGGGATTTACGAGACAATGTAGAATGTTTAACACGTAACTGCTTGTTATTTAAATGATATTTAATTTCCCCTGTTGTGCTGTCATTAGAAATGTCATGTGACCATCACGTGACTCATTAACACCACGGAAGTACTACAGCGAAGAGGACGGGTGGTACCTGACGACTGGGCGGTCTTCAGTAGTCCACAAACTGGCATTGCAGGTTCGAATCCTGTTCATACGTTTTCCGTTTCTCCGCTCTTTTTTTAAAGTTGTGATCTGAACGTAGTTTTCTCACACATCTGAAGCCAAGCCTTGGTACAGAGGTTTACAAGCATTTCCGTTGTGACTGTACTGTTCACTTACTGGCAAAGCCAGAGTCTAGATACATCAATCATTCTGCCAACGAAGGCTAATTTTTTAAATGGCTCTGGTGATTAAAAGAGAAAGAATTGCTACAAGTGGATGTTCAGCTGTATTTACGTTACTTGATGGACGTGCCGAGACGTGCATAATAAATTATCCGTATCACCAAGTTCGTCACGTGATAGGCCACAAATTGCTCAACCACGGCGTTTCATTACGGCTGTAATAAGCAAAATGACTCTGGGCGCCGTACGGTAAGTGGACAATGACCATTTGTCTTTATTCACGCTCTATTCAAGGGCGTTGTATCAACTGTTGAGTCTACTACCTTCCTTCATATTGACGACTGTAAAAATCGTAGAACGCTTAACTTCAATCAGTTATAAACTCCAACACTGTAATATCAGGGCTGAGCTCTCTCAAATGTAAACTCGCTCAAAGGTACTTGTAACAATGTCTGTAACTCAACAAACGTCACATCTACCATCCCGGAATTGTAGAATGTTCTAGAAACAAAGAAACAACTAACCCTATTGTTCATGACCGCTAACATCAAATCCGCAATTAAAACACGACTTGGAGTCAGTTCCACTACACGATGTTTTAACAAGCCATAAACTTCACACGTCCAAATAAATTATTGTTTAAAAGCTTTTTTTTCATGCAGTAGATGTGACGCTACGTACGAATTATTTTTTCTTTATCATTGATCGATAATCAACGCGGGATCTGTGTTTTATATAATTGCGGGCTACAAACTTTTGTACGTAGAACAGGCTCTTTAAACAGCATCAGGCCACGTCTCACAACTTTTAGTGCAGACCCCAAACCATAAAAATGAGATGAATATTTCCTGGAAAGCCAGGGGCAACGTTCCCCACTGACACCACTTCTTACCCTTTCCGCAAATTATCTTAGCTTTCAAAACATGCTAAAACCTTGGCACGGAATAATTAATATCCTTGTCGGACAGAATTAATTAGAGACGTCGTGACGATGAAAGTTCTACCATAATTAACACCTCCACTGTAAGACATTCAAACGCCATTCGTAATCTGTGGATCTGGAACCATGACCAGATAGACTATCACATACGGTTGTCTCAAATGTATTTTCTCAACACAAGTTTAACGAATCGTCAAAGTGTCCTCCGTGGCCTATGAAGACCTGTGACACTGACACGACAAAATGTGAAATGTAGGCCTATTTAGGATTTGCGTTGATTTAAGCGGTAACTGCCCATTTTGGCAGGCAATGAATGGATGAATGAATGAATGATCTAGCACTGAGGTCATTTGCAGAGGCAGGCACCAGCTGAGGGATGTCACATGTTGCCGGCCCGCAAATGATTCATACCCACCCCAGGAGCGCAATACCAGTCACAGAGGTTGACATGCTCACAGGCCTTGCTATCTGCATGTTCCCCCTCATTATCAGGTGGTTTATTAACTTGTCACATCTATCCACATGCAGTCCAGCTCCTCTGGTCAGAGTAACAACGGCGCAACTACCTGTTTACAAGTATTCCCATCGTCATCAGACCACAGGATTATATTTACAAAGCATGATGACCGAAAGACGGTGGCGTATTCGTGAGGTCGTGGGTTGCAATCTCGGCCCGAATACCGGCTATCTTGACTGATGTTCGTGTTTTCCTCAGTCCCTCCAAGTAAATGCTGGGAGAGTATCTTAAACGTTTAAACCCCAGTGCCAAATCCGTGTACCGTCTGCTTCAACAAACAGCAAAGCTACATTTTTGTAATTCTGCGTAACAGCATAAACAAGTTCATTTCTGTGATGGAGAAGTGCAGTGTTTTCTTTGCGGTGCGGATAAAATTCTTTACGATTATTGAAACAAGCTTCGACTTCAGGGAGTAACATCAGGATACTACGGACTCTTGAGTGTCATCAGCATTCAGGTTGTTATAAAATATTATAAATTTACGGAACCCGAAAGTCTATTTCCCTCTTCACAGAAGTCAGCAATTTTACTCTATCCTGAGCTATACAGACTCATTCCTTAGTTTTATACGATATATTTTGTTATAACCCCAGGCCTTCCACGTCTGCGTGTACCAAATTCCCTTCCGTTGAATTTTTCCTAATAAATTCTGTATGCATTTCTCTCACGTGCGCTACAAGCCTCACCCATCTAAGCTTTCTTGGATTCAGTCAGGTCACCTGAGATGGGTGCTGAAAATGTTATGTGAACCACACAAATTCCGGAGTCCCTCCTCTTGTAATTTTCTGCGTCCTCGTGTAGAGTGGTTGTCTCTGTCCAAGTAAATTTTTATTCAATTGTCTGTCTGAAAATTCTTTCCAACATCTTGTTCTCAGTCTCTGTTAACCGTCTGATACTTTGCCAGCAGTTCGGCCAAATTGCCAATGCGTATTTATCACGCTATGACACAAACAGGTGGAGTTGTATCCTTCTTCCACTTACCCTTTTTACCTCCCTTCTACGCTCACAGTTGTACCACAGTATAATAATCCCTATATAAACCTTGTATGCATAACTTAGATCAGAGTAAAGCCATACTTGAAAGCGGCCTCAAACTCTAATACAAGCAACCCCCACCCTCGACCTGTCCAAACCCACGCACACACTCGCTGATTCAACATGAAACATAAGAAGACAAAGACACTGGAATAGAAAGAAAGAGTAGGCAGTGATCCCAATTTGTGTGCAGGACGCGGGGCAAACGTAGTTAGTTTTGTAGCAAGCCAACACAACTCTTCCCGAAAGTAAACTTGTCCACTTGGTTCGCAGGCAACCAAGGCGATAACACTAGCTCCTGGGAGAATAGCAGCCAGTTCTTGTGCAGGGCAGGAGTAACCTGACACGATGACACGTGAATGTGGAATACATTCAAGGCGTCTTATTACTGTCGAAAGAAAATAATGACTGAGAAGCAAGGCAAATAACCGACAGAACGAGTAGCACATTAAAATATGCCTGGAATTAATACACCGAGTCGGAGAGAGAAATTTGGGAAATAAAATACAAATATTAGTACATAGCTGCGGAGCACTACACAGACACTTTGCTAATATAAAGTCTACGAGCACGCACTTGAAATTGCAGACGTTATCGGTTATATCAGCGGTAAAATACGGCACTGAGACAAGGACGTAGAGTAAAGAGACAATGATAAATATAAGCGGCATAAATGAGAATTTGTAAAACCTACAGGTGGGTGTACGACAACGAGGTTACACAAAAGAAGAATAAGCATTTAAATTCGTAAGGCACTCCTACAAACAACAACAACAACAGCACAGGTTATTACTTCAGGACAGTGCAGAGCAGACGAATGCGTGATAGCAAGTGGCCCGCAAAAGCATGGAGCCAGAAATCTACGGGAAATACTGGGAACGGGGTTTTTAGGTCGGTACAGGCATCAAGTTACCTAAAACTTCCCTATGATTAACTGAGGTAAAGCAGGAGGAGCATGAAGCAACCCGTTCACCTCAGTCTCATGCCGAGGTTAAGAATATGCAGAGCTTCCATTATACGCCTTCTCAGAGTTATACTCAGGCACACGGGCAATTTTGTCTTTCAAAACCAACGACAGACAACATTTGACTAAGGGCAATTTGATAAAATCAAACTCACCTATAGAAGTCCGTGACGCGATGAGGTATCTGCCCGTTTAGGTGTTAATTGTGATACCAGCGCCTGAAACACAAGAAGTAAGAATAGCTTTAAGGCTTCGGGAGATTATTCTTGAGTACAATGAAAAGGAGAGAGAGAGACCTTGGAATGGAACGAATGGGTATACATCGCCCGCCCAAGCCTTGCTAAGAGCATTTCTTACAGACGATGGATTATTAAATTCGTGAATAAGCAGGAAACACATCCATTGGAAGTTGTTCTACTGAAAGACGCCTCAAGAGTCAATGACAAGGCACTACAAACGCCACATATTGCGTCTTTAATTGGGCATGTGTGGGCTGCACACCCCTCCACGTAAAAATTTTATTTTTAAAAAAAACGCACAGGAAGAAAGGCAGAGTGAGCTGTTCACGAATAAGCCACAAGGGGTCAGTTCAATATTCTATCAGAAAGACATATTATTCTGATCAGAGGGCTCTGAATCCTTATAAGCGTTAAGCTGCAATGAATTTGTCACGTGTAGAATTACCGGGTGATTATCAAAACTGAGCAAAGCTGCCAGTCTGAAAGTGAGTTCGCTTTTGACAGGTGTCTAAAGATTTGCTCATAAGGTATTGAAGGACTGCAATAATTATGTTCATTCGAATGTATGCTG